TACTTCACGATATACAATATTATCTGTGTGACAATAATTTAGAGTTACATTTGAATCATTATATGTAAGAATTTTAATAGCATGGTAGAAAGTAACTTTCAATAAAGTGACGTATAATTGACTATGTGAAAAAACTGGTCTGGGTAGATAGATACCAACTTGATTCAATGTTTGACCTTGTGCTTTGTTGATGGTTATGGAAAAAGCAGTATGTACCGGAAATTGGCGTCTTGTTAAAATGAAAGGTAAATTGATATCAGAAGGTGATAATAAAATTCGAGATATAAATATATAACTACCGATATGGGATCCTGTGATAATTTCAGCAACGATTACTTTGCTATAAAGAGCTCAACAAATTAAGCGAGTTCTATTGCAAAGTCCTTCTGCTGGATTTAAGTTACACAGAAGCATTATAGGTATACCAGCTTTTAACTTTAATTCACCAGGAGGAAGGCCAGAGATTTTTAAGAATCTTAAAAATTCAGGTAGGTATAGATGAGAGCAGGTTATATTTCTATCATCTGCTGAATTTGTAATATCTGCGCTGTGATATATAGAAATTGGGCCAGAGAACTGATCTATCATTAGATCAGAGATTACATTAACATCATTATTTTTTGGAGTCAGTATAGCTCTTTCAGTTAAGTAATTAATATTATTCGAGTTTTGGATGAAATTCGGATAAATATAATTAATAAGATCTGATAACTTTCCACCAGTTACGACTATATCAGAAGGGAGTGTTATTTTATTTTCTGTGTCTGCAATTATCAGATAGGTTCCGTCTTCTATTTGTAAAAGAAACTTGGCAAATTCTCTTTGCTTCCGATTCTCATTAATATCATTAGTTCGCTACAGTTTCATATTAATTGTTAATTTCATGACTTTCATGTGTATCCATAATGAAGAGTGGGATAAGCTAGCTAAAATGATATCTGCATGGGAACCACAATGTACAACAGGTAGTACTTGATGAAAATCACTACCAAAAACAATGACTTTTTCACCAAATGGTTTATCTACTTGCATAATATCACGAAATATATGATCAAGAGCTTCAAATGCAAACTTATTAGTCATTGGAGCCTTGTCCCGGATGATAATTTGTGTGATGCTGATTAAATAAGCTTCTTTGCTGTTCCGTAAAATATTACACATAGAAGATTTATTAGGTTTAAGTAGAATTTTGAAATGACTATGGGCTGTTTGTCTACCTTTTATTAAGAGTGTAGCGATTCCTGAAGAGGCTACTGCTAATGCAATGTGGTGACATGACCTAACACTTGCTAGTAAAATGTTATATAAAAAAGTTTTTCCTGTACCATCTGGTCTATCTACAAAAAAACATTCTCCTTCTTCATTGCTAATTGCTTTCATAATGGCATCAAATACTGCATGTTGATCATCATTTAACAAAGGTACGTTGTGTTGTAATTTGGTTTGTAAGTCTATTATATTATAAGATCTCTCTTCACATATTAGATGATTTAATGTTTCTTTATTATTAGTAATATTTGAAGTGATAGGAGGAATTGGCATATCGGAAAAATCTTTTAGAGATTTTCTACTTAGTAAAAATATATTTTCCAATTGAGTAAGGGCTTCATGTTCAATTACATTAGAAATATCACTCGCATCATTGAGATCTTGTAATTATATATGAGCTCGATATAAAATATCCTCACACAACGCTACTTTATAATTATTTTATAGCAACTCAGGTTTCACCAGTTGGCAAAATAGAAGTATGGTTGCAAAAAGCTATCAAAGTTGATGTCCTGTCTGTACAGCACTTGCTTCAAGCAAACAGGTATCCTATTCAGTATCATCCTGAAGAAGACCAAGATAAGAGCAAGCTTTTTTGAAGTTACTATATATATAGTCATTCATAGTTTTTAGGTCATTGAAGCCGGTCGCACTATTTATATGAGTAAGTAAAGTTCGTAGATAATATCTCTCGCTTTCAGAAGGTTGTACCATATAAAGTTGTCCAATCATAGTCATCGATGTTTGTCTAGGTGTCTATTTACAGCGTGAAGAATTCCAAGTATAATAAGAAGGAAAGTTGACATAGGTATATCTATGTACTATCGGGTTGTCTATATTCTCCTGAAACCAAGCAGTCAAGATTGTCATATGATTTTGATTACGGTTAGTGACATTCTGAAGATTCTCTTCATCTTGAAATATAACATATTGACATCTATCGAGATAGACAGCAAGCCTTTGTACTTTTGGATTACGTCTATGCAATTTATAATGAAAAATTCTCCAGATAGATTTCGAAGCTGAAACATATCTTGCATCTAAGTAAATTTTTATTTCATCAATTTGGGCAACTTTGGGTGAAAGTTGTTAATTATCAGCTTGATTGGAATTGGCAAACATAATGGTTGCTCGATCATGCCCTTTGTATACGTATTTAACAGCTGTTATAGAACTGCAAATTTTAATATTAATATGAGCATTGTATTTTGTGCATAATTTGATATTATGCAGCACAACCCATATATTGTTTAATTGGATTCCATCTTTAACAAAATATGCATTATTTCGTCTGTGGTAAATAGGATATCCACTATCACTTTCTATAGTACGCTCTTGAAAAGTTATAGGATAATGTTTTGTATACACACCATCTTTCATATATGGTGTGTTAAGGTTTAGTAAACCACACAGACTATGTATCATTATGGTTATTACTGTCTCATAGGCAAGAGGATATATGCGAATGTCAGGGATTTCAGCTAAGACGATGGAATCATAATTTTCTGTTGTTTGTAATTTGTTATTTGAGACAAGGATTAATAGAATATGCATATAGGGAAAACCACATTTTTGAAATTCTACTATGTATATATATGCAATAACTTTACCAAGCCAATAGTTTTTACACAAATCTTTAAAAGTATTTGTAATTTTATATGAACCACCCAGGTTGTTAAATCGGGCCTATCAGCAGCATTTTGATGAGATAATAATTCTCTGGTAACTTCTGGCCATTTAGAATTACATGTAAATATGATAAAAAGATCTGGTTTTCCAAAGTGAGTGATAATTGCTATCGCATCCTAATATAACTGATACATTTGACACAGTCCATCTGTAAAAGAGAATGGAAAGATTATACGACGACCAACAGTGTTACTACAATCTCTAGCATGTACTGCGTCGATAATACCTTGATAAAATTTAGTGTGAAGTAATTTTTGATTATACTTAAGGTAAATTAAATGATTCTGTTCTATTTTAGCATACTGATCAACAATATACTGTTGATATAATCTGCTAGCACATTGTATCCAGTCACCATCTCTAATCTGCAATCTATGGGAGTAAAATTGCATAGTTGTTACTCATTCTCTTTTTAAAGTGTCTATGAGTGGTATATCTGTGTGCTACCTATCATCACCTTTAGAGAATAATAATATGTAGTAAAGCAGGTCATATGAAGAATGAACCTCTGATATTCTCTGCAAATTTTCATCATGCTTTTTGAGAAGAATATCCCGATTTGTCGGATTTACCTCATGATCATTACCTACTATTATTGCAGCTACTTCAGAGGCAGTTAGAGCATTATAATGACAAATGTCTCGATTTCTATTGTCATGAATTATCATTGAAATTTCAGCAGATATATTGTCTTGTATAAGATCTCTAATGCTATGAAAGTTTTGGATATATGGGTTGCAAGTATCTAGTATATTCTGTAAATTTTGTAGAATACTTTTATTTAGGT